ACAGGTAAGAGTGTTGATCAAACATTTTATAGGAGCATGATAGGTAGTCTGCTTTATCTTACTGCTAAATGACCTGACATTGCATTTAGTGTAGGAGTCTGTGCGCGTTTTCAGGCTGATCCTAAGGAATCACACTTGAGTGTTATCCGATGTATTATTAGATATGTCATGGTTCTGTTTAGGGCTGGGTGTGGGTTGGGTTGGGTCGATTTTTGCCCAAACCCAAACCCAACCCAACATGGTCGAGCTGGTTGAAATTCAACCCAACCCAACCCAACCCATGTAAGGATTGAAATCCAACCCAAACCAACCCAGTCCAATGTCGGTCGGGTTGGGTTAGATCGGTCAGTTCGGGACAAACTATCGACAATCATTACCTAAATTAAGAACACCGGCCAGGATCCCGAACAAAAACAAATTAATAGTAAGTATACCAAGCTTAACAACATTCGACCTTGAGAAAATAGTAACTTATCAAAATAAAAGGCCAAGAAACAAACATGTTTACTGTAACCCTGCGGAAAATACACCAACCACCACATGGCTCCCAACAGCAGGTAGAGAAACAAGAGGACCAGCACAGGCATGCCAAAGTTCAGAATTCAGATAATTCTTATCACTTAAAAATCAAACTAAAATTATAGAAATTCTTGTACTACTATATCCTCATAAAATGGTATTAGTTTGAAGAATAAATTTTTTGGTGTGAATTTTGAAATCACAAATAAAATGATTGGTATGATTCTGTGATGAAGTAAAACCGGGTTCAGAAAATAAAATGATAGATGCAAATATAGGACTTTCATGTAATAATAAGTTGTAAAAGCCTAAAACTGAAACGTAAAAGGTACAAACAAAATAAACATATACAAACCTATCAAATGTTAGTCTGTATCTCTAAGACCAATCTTTGTCCCTTGTCTTTTAATAATCCAAAAGTAGCAACATTTGTTCACTAGAAGAAACATATACGAAGTAAGAAAGAACATCGTTGTACAAGGGAAGCAATTCTTTTGGCCTCCTGTGCCAGTACAGCTGCAAGTTCTTCCCCCATAAACTAGATCCAGCTTTCTTGCCACCTTCATGCAAAAATGTAGAAATTACCTCAAAAAATAGAAGAAACATACATAAATTTTACGAGTATTGAAAGAAAATACAGTGCAAGAATCAAGAATGACTGCCTTTTTATAGAACATTTCAGCTCAACAACATCAAAATCCCAAAACCTTAAAAATCCACTAACCTAGTTTAGATCTCGGTGACCGGAGTGGGGATCTGAAAACCAAAGATGGCTGCTAGCACCTTTGACGATTGAACGGGAGCAACCAAGCAGGAGAGAATGAGAGACTACTTGTGAAATTTAGGGCTTTTTCCTCATTTTATATGTTGGTTTTCTATTTTTCTTTTTAATGTAGGTGGGTCAGGTTAGATGGGTTACATCAAGTTTTTGTGGTTAACCTACAACCTGACCCAACTAATCAACCAAAGACCCGAAACCCACCAAAAAATAGCTAAAAATCGGCCCAAAC